AAAAAATGGCAAGATTTATATAGGAAGAAAGGGTATTATGCCAATAAGAAAATTAAATCTGTAGGAAGAAGTTTCTTATTTAAAAACTGTTATGGGGCATATATTAATTCGTATCTGTGCCACAAATCACTGAGAAAAATCATATGATATTCATAATTGTTAACGAGATGATATTTAAAGAGTGTTAAAAATGAGACTATTAGTCATGAAGCTTACCCTTTTACTTTAATATTGTTTGTTTCAATATTACACTTTTATTCTTGTCTATGATGAAGTTCAAAAGCATTTTGCAATGGCCTTAAATTGTGAGCCAGGATTTATAGCAAAGATATTTGATGCAATGAAACTTAATCAGTACCTTCCAGTATGTATTTTAGTAAGGGGATTGTCAATCCCATGTTTTTAAATAGATAAAATACAGGCCAAAGTATTACAGTTGAGAAGAAACTATTTTATCTTAAAAATTTTTCTTAAAATTCTGAGATCATATAATCTAATTTTCTTAATAATAAATTAGGTATATGTATGTTGTACATACAGAATTTTGTTATGGACAAATAAGGATCGGCAAGCTTCTTTTGTGCAAAAAATAAATGATTTTTTCTAGTATTAAGACAAACCATAATGTGTTTTACAAACTTACCGGTAATAGTTTTTTTTATAATAAAATATTTAGGAATAATTTGGGTTGTTTATCAATATATTAATGACTTGAATTTTGACAAATTGATTTCAATCAAAATAATTTTACGAAATATAAAATTGATGTTCTATTACAAGATTTAGAGTTTTTATTGTCGACAAAAACCAGGATAAATACTAATAATAATATCCTTAATAAAATCACTGATGTTTATGTATTATGAAAATACTTGTTAGAGGAGATGTTATGTAACAGTTTTTGTAACTCAATTTGAAGGGACGAATAAAGAAAATAAAACAAAAAAATATTTTTTTCTAGGTTTATATTAAAAATACAAGGTAATCATCAAAAATAATTATGAACCAAATGTTTTATGAATATACAACTTGAACAAAAAGTTGTTTAGAACAATTTTTACCAAATTTGCAAAAATTATAAATTGAAACGCGTAGTACAAGTAAACATGAAATAATTGTAAATACTTATTTAATGGCATTTCGAGTGTTTAACGACTAAGAAAAGTTCATCTGTCCGTAGCGTCTTTTGTCAGAATATTCGTATATTTAGTGTATTATATACCAATATTGTACGCAGTTTTGAAACTGATGATAATTAAATAAATCATATTAATGTTATCTAACCATAATAAATGATAGAATTTCACTAAATTTAAATTGCCCCCCGTATGGTTGAAAACAGCAAATTGATATTTGATTACTTATAGATTACCACCTATAAACAAAATGACACGGAGACCTGGAATATGGCGCCCAACTTGATTAGACCTTCTGCTCATTCTCTATCCCTTCTATTTCTCTGGGCCTTACGCACTGTCGTCGTTTGGAACCAAATAACAGAAGCTTTTTGATATGAAAAGTGTAAATTGGGGATATGTGTTCAAGTCAGTTGAATTCCTATGACTTTAGCAATTCACCAATCTGGCAGGCAAAACGAAAAGTATAAAGATATGTGTGGGCAGGGCTTTAAATACGGAACGAACGGGTATATAGACCGCGCGTTCATTTAAATTACTAGAATTAACCAAGTTAATTAAGGAGCCAAAACCTTAACAAAAACAGGCCAATTGTGGCATGTTATTTTTTCGAGTTAATCAAGAGACAAGTGTTTTTAATTAAAAGAATAAAGCGATAAAATCGTTATTATAAATGGGACAGTTCAAGTAGATATTTGTGTTTAAACTTACTTTTAACAGATATAATATTTAATTTCATTAATTTAAATTTTTATTTTAACACACGCAGTTATTTCTCGATAATAATGTAGTATTTTTGTGAAGATTTGAATATTATCTATTATGTAATTTGATTTGATTGACCGAAAACTCAAAAATTTAATTTAAGACGTCGAATCTATCACCAAATTATATTTCTAATAAATAGAAATTCGTTTGAAACATAGGTTTGAAACTTAGAGCTTAGTGCCGATTTTTATTTTTCTTTTTAATCTCAAATTCTGGTTAAAGCAGGACAGCACGTTGTCACACCCAATAAAGGAATTGGCTGATAAAAAGGCCTTATGTTGGTTTATGGCAGATATTGCCAGTAGTTGTCATTACATGAGGATATTTTTGCAAATCTGAAATTTGTCATTTTCGATTTTATTATATAAAAATGTCATATTAGAAAACTAACCTGACATTTTTGTCTTTTTCAATTTTATTCCGAGTTTTCTTTGACAAATGCTAAATTAAATCTGCATCTTGTTGAGTTAAAACTGCGATTTTAGTTGCAATAAAATGCCAAAATCGTTCAATAATCGGAATCAGAAACTTGTCTCGTCTGTACTCAATGGGCTCTTTCACAAAAAATAAAACACCCAATTCAAGGACAAAATCTGAAATAGAAGACTATTTTCAGTATATTTATCTAAAAAAAATTGTTCCATGACATTGAATATTTTTTTTTAGGCGCCCTCAAAATTTCTTTAATTTGAAATAATTTTAAAGTTGTTTAGAACAGAAACAGGTTTGAACTGAAAACAGGTTTTAAAGTGCCAGTTGATGACGTATGAAAAATACGCCCAATCGCATTGCAGAACCGTGCTCGTGCGCCAGCCAACAACTGGCACCATTGCGATTTGATTTGACCAGCACCACCTCAACTCAAGGCCAATCAAAATGATATGGGCAAGGCAAATATGGCGGCGAAGGCAGCGCATTATTAAATTGTTTATCTTTAACCTGAAAAGCTGGTAGTGGTTTCTCGTTCCGATTGCATACCAGAAATAATTAATTATCTCTAGTTTGTTGTGCTTCTGCAACACATTTGTTTAGTTCTTAGTGTTCAGTGCATGATGTGATCAGAAAATTGTGATAAAATAACAGTGTATTAAAAATCCAAACCAGACATTCCACATAGGGAACTTCAAACTTTTGTACTTGTCGCTCTTCTCTATTATTAATTATTTTAAGGTAAGAACTAGAAGTATTTATCAAGATATTACACCTAAATGAGTAAAAAGCCTTCGCCGCTAGTCTGCATAGTACTTTATAATGGTTACTTACAATAATCAAAAGATAGGTATTAAAGGGTAGGTATTAACATTTTATTGGTAGCATGCCTTTTACATGCTCTGTTCCAAATTGTCACGGGAATTATAGAGGGGGTCCCAAGGTTTCTGCTTTTATATTCTCCAAAAATGACGAGCTTCGTAAAAAATGGTTGACAGCTATTAAAAGAGATAATTTCACTCCTACTAGTAGTTCTCGGGTAAGAAGTGCATTAAATATGCCTCAAAAAGGCCAAAGGCCCCAAAGCCTCTGTTACCCTAGTGAGGATGTAGTTAGGGCTACTGCTTACACTTACCTCTCTATAAGTAAAATATTGGGATAAGAATCAAGCTTTTTACATCAAAAAGATCACAGAAAGATATTGGCAACATTGACATTTGAAAATTTAAATGGCCTGGATGTAAGTCTTTTTTTAGGTCACAATTGCCCCTCACATACGTCAGAATTTATTATTAAATCCATCTTGTTCGGAATATCCAATATTTTATTGAAGAACTATGCAAGATAAAGAATGAAGTCTTTACCACAAAGACAATGCCCTATGTAAAGATAAAGAGTAAAGAAAACTAAGCTAGGCGTAAGTTTTACTTACGAACCTCCAAAAGGGTATTTAGTTTTTTTTTTCTATATAAAATCTTGAAACATATTATATTTTTTATTTATACTCACCTATTATAGTTTAAATTTATTCCGATTTGTGTAATGCTGCAAAACATAGAAAAAATATTCCATATTTTTTGACCCAAGCCAGTGTAGTTTATAATTCCAAGAGCATTTACCAAGGTTTTTACTAAGACACAGTAACTTCCTATACTGTCCATAATAGTATATATTTATCAAAAGTTCAGTAAATTCTAAACTATGGTAGGTAAGTGTTTGCAATTGAATCTTTAGTTTATATTGCTATTTTCTTTCATATATTTCTGGTTATTTCTTTTTCCGATCATTTTGAACACCCTATATATGCTACCTCAAGCTTGAATATTTTAACACTACCTATTTTCTGAGAAAGCAGACCTTTTTATAAAAAGTAGGTAACTAACTGATGTTTTCATAAAAGTAATAATACAAAACATTCCATACTTATGTGGAGAACTTTAGACTCCCTGTATATTAAAAAACTAGTGAAATATTACGTACTCTAACCCGACAAATGAAAAATGTCTATTTGTGAATAAAACAGGTTTTAAAATACGCGCCAAATAAAGCACTTCTATCTCCGCCATATTGGAAAAGGTTGAATGGCCTTGTGTGGAGGTGGTGGTGGGTCAGCATGTTGGCCCGGCGGCGGCCGTGTTGCCGCTTTTCAATATGCCCGGTGTGACGTATTAAAAATAAAGTGCGGATTTTTATTCTGGGCTTTTTTGTTTTTATTTATTTTCTTAAGAACGACTTCAAATTTTTCGAAAGTGAGATAGCTGAAAATTCTAGAATTAATTGCTTTATTCAGTATGCTAATTCTAAAATATAGTGAAAGAGCCCATTATTACGAACAGGAAAGACATAATGGCGAGTCCTTTTTGCCGTTAAACTGCGTAGAGTTTTGCGTATTTTATGGAAAATAAATAAATCTTTCAGCGTGTTTCAGCTGCGCAAATTATCAGTTTACGGACTGTGAGTAGAATCTAAATCGAGTAGAGTCATTTTTTGGCTTTTAGTCAGAAAACAACTATGTTTATATGTAGTAGTTTAGGCTTTCGCGGCCATCGTTTGAAGAATTTTGGTTTTTCGGGTTATTAGGCCGTCGTCGGTTAGAATTGCTTCCTAACGTTTCGCTAGCACGAGTGGCTAGCATCTTCAGAGGTGTGTTTGCTCCGATTGCTCACACTAGACTGATGCCTCCGCGTCGGCGTAGCGCGTATTTATGCGTCGGCGGAGGGGCGTGGCTTGTTCGGGTGGTAGTTCTTCCGGAACTGGTCTACTTCTCTGTGCTGCTACTTTGGTCCTAGATATAGCTGGATGCCAAATTCTGTTAAGGTAGAAAGTTTCTTCCTTCCTGTTGAAATTATTTGGATGTTTGTGAATTTCAACAGCTTCCCTGACCAGACGAGGATGATATCCAGATGTTGTGGCAATGACTTGGGTGTCTTCGAATTGGATTTTGTGATCACCATCTCTTAGAGCATGTTCTGCTACGGCTGACTTCTCTGTTTGCCCTAATCTGCAGTTTCTCTTGTGTTCCGTAAGTCTCGTTCCTACTGAGCGTTTGGTAGTTCCAATATATACGCTACCGCAGGAACAAGGTATACGGTAGATCCCTGCAGAGGATAATGGTTCTCTTTTGTCTTTTGCTGGTCTTAAGCAGTCCCTTATTTTTCGGGTAGGTTTGTATATGGTTTTGATGTTATGCTTCTTGAGAACTTTACCAATCCTATCGGTGACCTGGGAAACATATGGAAGGAAGGCCTTATTAATGATGTTTTCCTGTTCATTGGCGTCAGGTCTCCTCTGCCTAGGTGCCAGCGCCGCCTTTATTTCTCTGTCATTATAGCCATTGGCAAGAAAGGCTTTATTTAAATGACTTAGTTCCTCTTGGATGTGTTCATTAGCACAGATACGTCTTGCCCTATTTGCTAATGTTCCGATAATCCCCTGTTTTTGGCTTGGATGGTGATTTGATAGTTTGTGTAAGTACCGGTCTGTATGAGTGGGTTTTCGATACACGGTGTGATCCAAAAGGTCGCCATTTCTCTTGACAAGCACATCGAGGAAGGCCAGTTGGTTGTTTACTTCGGTTTCCATGGTAAATTTTATGCTCGGGCTCTGCGAATTAAGGTGATGAAGGAAGTCATCTAGGCTGTCACGTCCATGTTTCCAAACCACAAATGTATCGTCCACATAACGAAACCATACAGCGGGCTTCAGAACGGATGACTCTAGCGCTTTTTCTTCAAATCTCTCCATAAAGAAATTAGCAATTATTGGGCTGATTGGGCTACCCATTGCGACACCTTCTGTTTGTTCGTAGTAATTGCCGTTCCATAAGAAATAGCTACCAGTCAGACACACTCGGAAGAGCTCCGCGATGTCAGGTGGGAATGATTCCTTGATTGGATCCATTGACTCGCCTAGGGGTACTCTCGTGAATAGAGATACCACATCGAAGCTTACCATGATGTCAGATGGTTCCAGTTTTATATCTTTTAGCTTTTGGACGAAATGCGTTGAGTCCTTCACATAAGAGTTTGTGTTGCCGACTTTCGGTTTGGAGAGCACGCCGACGCGGAGGCATCAGTCTAGTGTGAGCAATCGGAGCAAACACACCTCTGAAGATGCTAGCCACTCGTGCTAGCGAAACGTTAGGAAGCAATTCTAACCGACGACGGCCTAATAACCCGAAAAACCAAAATTCTTCAACTATGTTTATAATTTGTTTGAGTTTGTTGTTTTGCCATATAAATATTTTTTATGGGCAGTTCTTATTCACGGCGTTGAAAATTATTGAATTACTAATGTTGCTATTAAAAAATAGGGGTTGATGGTAAAAGGGTGAAAATTTAGGGTTGTATGTACTGCCACATCATAAAAAAATAAAAATAAAAACTTGGTCACAAAAATTGGGGTGGTCCACTCCGATCACTTGGGGGTATAAAAAATAGATAACAACCTATTCTCAGAGCTACTCAATGCACACATAAAATTTCATCAAAATCGGTCAAGTAACTAAAACTGTGACATGATATGAGAATTTTATATAGTTATTAGGTTTTATATCATTATTACTTTACTAAAATAAGGTTTTCTAAACATACATAAAGCATGTTTTAGTTTGTTGTTCTCTACTTCATTACCATATTGTTAGAATCATTCAATTACCATTGTATTGTGCACACGTATAATTATTATAGGTTCTTGGCTATTTTTCTATACTTTTTTTTACCAAAATAACACGTTTTGTACAGCCGGTAATTAAATATAGCATTAATTATGTTTATTTTTTAGATCTGCATGTAATTTTATTATTAGCTTAATAACTTAAGGAATATTCCACTAACTACATGGTTATCATCTTTTTTTTCGAATAATTCACTTGAAAGGAACTCAGTAGCGTGTCTTTTTTCAATTCAAGGAATTAATATTGAAATTTCTTACTCATGTTTGATTCCCATTTCCATAGGTTAATGCTATATGTATTTATGTGAATATTCTCTGATTCATATTGAACTGCTTTCGAACAATTTCAAAATTTGAATTAATACACGTATAATTATGCATTAATATAGAACAATATGTACAAAGTTAGAAGTCTTGAAAAAAACGTGGTCTTGAAACAGAACGGTCAACGGCTTATAATAGACGTATTTACCAAAAACTACAATATTGTTGAATAATGTTGATTAGTAGTATTTAGATATTAAACCGTTTTTTTTGTATTTTTGTGCTTCTGTGAACGGGGGGAGTATCACTACTAATAAAGTATCACTGGTTTTCGTTTGGACTTAACATAGGGGTGTTAGCAAAAAAAAAACATTTTTCTACAAACGTCAGTAAAAATGTAATTTTTAACGCATGCTGTCAGTGCCTAAAATGTGACATTATGTCACTGATGGTAAAAGTCATTTACTCTTAGCACTGGTGCTAAAAGTAAGTCACGTGATTTACTTTTAACACTGAAGCGATAACAATTACCCTAGTAACCATAAACTTCATAATTAATTTGATTTCAGAATGACATATTATGAATTATTCATTAACGTAAAAAGTAATAATACCTTGATATATACGAGCATAAACTTGTTTGTAGAAAAATAGTGTATGATATGTGTGCTAAAAGTGATTTTATTTTGTTCGAAGGGATGGGAAACCTCGCCTTCGGCGTCGTGTCCCAAGCTTCCCTTTTCACAAAATAAAATACCACTTTTAACACTTATACATAAATAACTATTTCTTTATTTTTTAGATTTCACTTCCAGTGGCGAAAAACCTAGCATTTTTCAAGAAAACTTAATTCTGTTAATTGTACTAAATCCGTATTTTTCAGTAAAATTTTTAAAATCCAGTACAAAAAAAAATGGTAAAAATCTTAAGCTAAACCGTAATCATCACTAAGGAGTAATAGCCAAGGAACAACCCTAAATAAAATATGATCTATTTTAGTGACACGTTCTAGTTTGGACATAGTAAAATACCTTTTCACCATGCGGACCTTCCAAGACAAGATGGCGTCTCAACGCATGTTACTCCATGGAAAAGGGTTCCTTAACTGTCCTCGTACTCATCCCAGTACGTCCACACGCACACCCATCTACAGCTCCTGTTCTCTAAAATAAATAGTTCTAGAAGAGAACCTTACACCTAAGAATGTCTCTTACCCAACCAACAAAGATATCCCTTTTCAAGGTTTTCCCCCGGAATTCCAACTACACAGGCCAAGCTCAATTTCTTGCCAATCGATCTTCTCGACCCTCAATGAATTCCAAGACCGTAATTCTACTGAACAAGCCCAATATAGAACGGCGACAAGCCAAAATTTCACTAGAATTTCTTTCTTTTATTTTCGGCAGAGATCAGAAGGCTTCCCCTGTTTTCACCAAGACTGTTTAAAGTCGAAAAAGGACGCGTGTTTGCAAAATCCGCAAAAGACGCTGGACTCCAAGACACCAACCCAAAATCCAACACTGGCAACCAGTAAAACAAAAGACCCAAAATAAAATTTGACATACAATTTTATTTAATGCATACGAATTGGGTGAAACATTTTATTACATCATAATAAACATATTATAATCCATATACGAACATAATATCTTCGGAAAATTATTAATACATTTTCCGATCATATAAAAAACGATTAAAAAGATCGAAAACCTAATTTACAAAGATCGATCTGTCAACCTTCAACGCCGGTGTCACACGATCAGCTGACAAACAATTGAAAAGTCAGTCTGTAAATCGTAATATAAACAAGATGAAATTTAGGGAAAAATCAACTATAATCAGGTAAAACCAAGTAAAACCAATTGATTACACCCAAGAAAAATACATAATAAAATCCTTAACCTATATGTATATTGCAGACCCAACATTCCCACTTGTTGCGTTGAAAATAGACCAAAGATAATCACATCAAGTCTATGTTCAAGAATCCTCCGAAGAAATATGCCAAGAAAATATCCTAACACAAGCATAAGTCTAAATAAAGAATTAGCAACCACTGTAGAAAGAAAGGTAGGTTTTAAACAGACAAATTGATATTTTATTAATGAGGTTTTATATTACAGTTATCGGAGACAACTCCATCCCAAGAAATTGTTGTGATGATGAGACTTATAGATAAGATATTATTAGAAATTATATGTACAGTTAAGAAGTAAGCTAATTAAACGTTATTATTCAAGTTATTCAAGTAAGTTTTAGTTTTATTCCTAAAAATAAGCAAAATAAGTAAAATAAGTTACGGTGAAATTTTAAACCGTAACAGTACGTATGTAAGTACCCAAAAGGATATGTGTATAAGCTCCAGAAATATATTCACTTTTACAGATGATTCTTGCGCAATATCGAGTAATTTATTTTGAATTTTAGTTTATTTTCCGTACGCCAATGAAAGTTGTTGTTAAATGTAACGATTTGATCCGCTCTTGATCCATGTTAAAATGATAAACGCCTTACGCACTGATAAGGCTTATCTTGAAACCGGGAGAATAACATGAAGCTGTGTATGTGACAGACTATAAATTATAAAGCCTTGGCTTGTAAATATTTTTTTCCGCATTAGTTGATGCACTCGACGATGAACAAATTTAGACGTTTATGTCTCCTTTGTTATTGAAATACAGAAAGTTATAAACAAAATTAATGTTTGTTTATGTTTAAAAACCACGTTATTGATGTCAGGATCGATTTCAATAAATATTTTAATTTACTATGAAATTTATGAGCTGGCCTATGCCAAAGAAAATTTCAGGTCTATGCTAAAGAAAATTTTCCACAATTCCATTTAAATGTTCGAAGTAAAAACACGTTTCACAACTATGTTAGGAATTTTCAAGTATACTCAATCATATTCAATTCTAGAATGCCACTCTATCTAAAGAAGAAAATATTCGACCAATGTGTCCTACTAGTCATGACATATGCATGCGAAACCCGAGGCGAAACCTGGACATTTAAAACGGACTTCATAAGTAAACTACATGTCACACAAGGCTCAATAGAATGAAATATGCTAGAAATAACTAAGAGAGGCCGTAAGAGAATAGAGTAGATACGACAAAACACCCAGGTAATAGATGTCATCTACAGAGTCAAATCTCTTACTTCAAGACAGAGGGTTGTCTTATGTATTATGTTGCATCCTATGTATTAATCGTTGCGCTAACTCTTTCTTTGGTTTTCAAAATAACCCTCAGCATTTCCGCAACCGCTATGCTCTTCCCTTGGTCCTCACCCATAAGTGCCCCGACGTTATCCAGCGTGACCTTGGTGCCGCACCTTGCTTCTGCCACGTCCCTAAATTCCCTCCATCTTCCACACTCGAATAGAGTGTGCGCCAGGAGTATCCTGCCCCTGGCAGCACACACAGTGATCGCTATCTCTTTTACCCATCCTTTTCAGGTATGTGCCAAAACACCCATGACCTGTGATAGCTTGAGTAAGAAAGTGGTCTACCTTCACCCATCCATTCTTGTGCCACTTCGCCACATTTTCAATAAATTGCTTTGCCCAGCCATCATATCTCTGCCAATCCTCCTGCCATTTCATCAAGATGTTTTCTCTTACTTGCAACCTATGTTCCTTGCCCAGCCTGTAGGTGTCGCATCTTTCTTCTACCTGGTGTACAATCGGCATGACACCAGCCAATGCCAGTACTGCCGTTGTTGGCGCAGTGCGGTAGGCGCTCGTAATACGTAAGGCCAATTTCCTAGTCATAGATTCCAGCATTATTTGATAGTGTTGATATTATATACCTCTTCTCCAAATTGGAGCGGCATACAATATCATAGAAGTCACGGCCGATGCCATCGTCCTCTTCATAGCCCTAGGTCCGCCAACATTGGGCATTACCCACGACAGGGTGTTAGTTGCACGCGTGGCCTTTTCCACTATTCTGCGGACGTGGGTAGTCATACGCAGACCGCTGTCCAACCACACTTCCATGTACTTTACAGATT